CAGGTCAGGCGCCGGACAGTATTAACATGTAACGTTATAAACACTAAAAGCAGCTCCTGGATCTTGTTATATTGATGTCACCAGAACTTAAAAAATACTATTGCAAATAGGACTGTGTTACAAATTTAATATTCCGTATGTAGAGCCAACAAACTGATGCTTCTCGTAAAATTACTATACCTCCACTTTGTCCTACGTCTTCATGACGTGGTGATTAATTAAACCCAAGGACAGCTTTAATTTCACTTCCCGGCTAATGTATTGTTATCATCATTTTACGTATTGGCTGTGTATTTTTACTATAATTTTTACATTATTGCTGAATTTACATATTTCTCAACTTGTGCAAGAATTCTGAGTATAATTCCCATTGTCATTAAATATCGAAACAGAACTATGAAAGGGTAAATGGGCTGTAAATTAGCTTGACAGAAACAAAAACAGGCAATCCACAATTTTGGTGTGGACATTGCAAATATTGGGTCAGTGGCCAATGGCATGTTTGGGTATTAGAAATATTCAAAATTTTATAGGGCTGGTACTTAGTAGTCAATTGGTTAGAATTCTTTCTGATTTTCCTCAGTCCGTTCAGGCAAATTCCGAGATAATACTTAATTAGGTCACATTCTAATTCAACATTCACTACCATCCTCTCATTTGATGCTATATAATCTGAACTACGGAAAGCGTCGTTAAATAAACAATAAACACGAATATAAGAGTGCTGCTTAGACAGTAGATTTGTTACAAGTGCCGTCTCTGAACCAATGTGTGAACACCTATGTTCTCTTACTGAAATCGTAACTAAATTAAACATTCTTGGAGTTGGAATACACGCGAACAACATGGTTTATTTTATAAACGAAATTTGGCATCGTTTTCTCTCGCAGAAAGGTTACGGACGACACACGGTAATAGAAGTGATTGTATTTCTATTAAGAGTGGTTCGGTTGCGTTCATGACCTACATTAAGATGTCACAACATTTCCGTCAAGTAACTGAAATATGTTCGAGGCTAACCGACAGTGGGAATGCGTACGTCCCAAGTAGGACAGCGCAGTGTCCGAGACAAACTGTGTTCGTAGAATATGAAGTACTCGTTACGTTTGGACATGTTTCTCCCTGAAACAGGAAGTGATTAAACTGTTTTTTTGGCTGTTCAAGAACGATAAAATAAGTACCCCATTTGAGCAGAGATTCTTTATTTTAAACGACATTAAATATATTGATAGATACTGGGATACTGGGAACGACCCGTTCTTCAAGTGCCTGAGCACTGCGGGTCCCAACGTTTCGTTGGCTTATCTATAGACATTCGGTAGGACTCCTTGGACGAGGGATCGGCCCGTCGCAAGGCCTCTTCCTGTACACAGGACATACTGATAGAATTGGTACAAGCTATGTCACCGCCATTTGTACGTCGTGTTTTATTTTATTTTAATTAAAATGCTTTCTAGGTAAAAACAGGCCTACATATAGTTTGTTGGCTATTCGTTATGTTCTTTCAGCTGGTGTAGAAACATAGATGAAAAGTCTGCACAGTTGTTACTTTAGGTAATTGTTTCAATAAAAATACTGTCTCTCCGTGTGTATTTTTTTCAAAATCTACCCAGATTCAAATACGTAATATATACAAGACAATATATTTAACACAATCTGCACTTACTTTATATTGAACACAGCCCAGAAACGTAGTTTTAAGAGTAGCTACGAAAACATTGTAAGTTGAAATGTTACGTCTCTACCAAAGTGATCTGCGGCAAGACATTCTTATATGTAAGGACATTTATAAAATCACTGTAACTGAAATAAAAGAAGTGTTTTATATAGGGATATGTGTTTGTGTGTGCCTGCAGAGATGTGGTATGAGAGACAAGTGGCGGGCTCCTGTAAACACGGCAGTAAACCTTCAAGTTCTATATAAATACAGAGAATGTCATGGCTAGTGGATGGACTATTAGTTTCACAATTAGATATATTTTATGTGGAATTAGTTATGACAATAAGAACTGCCTTAAGTCTATACTAATCAGTCACATGAAATTTGGTATGATGTTAAACTGACTGACGAGTATTTTTACGTGTTCTGTTGGAACAATTTCCTTCTGCGGTAAAATATATCAAAAGTAAGTAGTTAGCTTCGGATGTAAATATTCGATAATTCTGTAAACCATGACAAGCGTATCCAGGATAGGTCACAACAATCTCACATTCCCAGAAAAGAGGAAAATAATTGATGTTTACAACGTATCGCATTGCCACTCAACATTTAACTTTAGTTCGTGAAGTTAATTGGAGATTTCACTTCAAATCAGTTGTATGCTTCAGTGACTTTGATTCAGGTTTTGTGCCCATATTAATCACAACAATATTGCACCACTGCTAAGACATTTATTCTAATAACACTTCTACCTATTTTCTGGTATTATAATGGATATTTCTTTTCCAACCTTCCAGTCCAAACTGTACACTTTCTTTCAGAGCAATCTATCATCCTTACTTACAATAAATAAATAAAGAATCGGTCTCCACAGTAATGAGTACGGTTATAACAGCTTTTTTATATGAACTTCAAGAGTAATTTAGCACGACACAGTTTGTCACATTTATTTATGACTTATTTAACGAATATTTTCTTCTGTCATTTGTGTGGTATGATCAGGAATACTCGACCAGGAGTGTCCTGAGTTCGATTTTACAATTTTATAACGTTAAGCAGTGTTATCTGAGTAGGACAAAGTGTGACAGAAGATACTTAACTGCTAAAAAGAGATTTACGTACAACATCTAAGAAACATAATGTGTAAGATAAGAATCTTAAAGACACTAAGAAATGTCTGCTTTACTTTTTTGAATACTTGAGGATATATAAAGTAAATTGTTCTGTAATGTTCGAAAAAACAATTAGCGTTATAAATTGCATGCACAACATTTTAATTAAAAATAAAACATTCAGCAGTGGACCGCTAATTGAGAAATTATTTGCTATGAAATAAAAACTTGCGGCCATGTTTATTTCGCCATTCTCTTTCCTGATCAAAATCAACCTTGTTCATTTCTTCTAAATATATATCTCTATCATCTATTCTAATATGACTACATCAATTATTAGGTTCTCCCAATTATCTCTTTCTATTCAGTTTTCGAAGCAAAATTATGTAAGCATACCGCACATACATCACAGTTACGTCTACTAAATGATTTGCAGGTTATGAGAAACAGTTCTAAAGCAGTTACTGCCTTATATCACAAGATGTAGGAAAATCTTAAATTAACACTCAGCTTCACTGTCGACGTTTTGGTAGTTTCAAAAAACGACGGTTTCACGTTCTGGTAAAAAGGAGAAGTGCGCGTGAAGTCTCTTAGTGAGATCTGCAACTTTTCATCATATGCCTACTCGTTTCGTACTTAATTTATAGATTTATCTGCATTACCTCAATATTTAATCAGAAAGGTCTGTGGGCTACAATATAGATGTTGTTAATACGATGCAGTACCACCGGTACTGACACATATTTAGATCATTTCCAGGAAGTAGAAACACGCAAGGGGCCTTAATAGGGCCACATAAAAAGTGGTACTCATTAATTTTGATAAACTAACTAACTAACTAGATCGCTTACCGAACCCGAAGGTTCATCACCGAATTAACCAAAGCCCTCCACCGGACCCTGTCCTGGGCCAACAAAATCCAGTTTCCTTCAACTCCTATCTCCCATAGATCCCGCCTGAGATCATCCTCCCATCTACGTCTAGGTCTCCCCAGCGGTCTCTTCCCTTCAGGTTCCCCAACCAGTACCCGGTGCACACCTCTTGTCCCATCCATGTACCCCGCATGGATGGGACAAGAGGTGTGCACCGGGTACTGGTTTATTGTTTTGTATACTTTAATTTTCAGGTTCTTAGAAATCAGACGGGAAGACAAAATATTTTGAACTGAGAAGTAGCAAGCATTTCCGGAATTTAATCTCCTCCTAACTTCCTCATGAGTGTCATTTTCATTTGTTATTGTTGTTCCCAGATATTTGAACTTTGTAACCCTTTCAAAGGACTTATTAGCTACCCTAAGACAATTCTGCCCGTCTGTCTGCTGACGAGATACTAACATGTACTTAGTTTTTTCTGAATTTACTTCTAGCCCCTGATACTCCAGGTTGGGGGTTGGGTGTAAGGCTAACAACCTTTCACCTGGAAAAAAAAGCTATGTTACGAACACATTAATTTTGATAAAAGTGTTCAAATTTTAATACTAGTAGAAGAAAGTATTCTTCTCTGGTCCCACGTGTTTACAGTATATCTTACACAAACCGCCGTTGTTGTGATGGTGACATTGATAGAAACCAGGTGGCAGTGTAAAGATTTTTAAAATCTCTTGTCTTTAAAGTTAAAAGGTCTCTATGGATGAAACCGTCTAACAAATTGCGTTCATAAGTGTTGAAAGGTAGGCCTATTGGTAACTTTTAAATTCTTAAAAAAATATTAGTCGTTATTTTACGTGGATAAGAAATTAAAAATAAAGATAAAGGATGGCCAACCGAGAATATATATAAAAAATATTCTATTTCAATACAAATTTCACAATAAATGCTGGGCTTCGAACACAGTCTCACTATGTGATGGATCTGTTTGCTCATATTGTCTGTTCTAATGTCTTCGTGCTATGTAGCCAGTAGGATGAATTGCTTAAAATCCTCAGTAATCTCGTGAGATCTCTGATAATCTCATATACTCAGTTACGAATCATCGTACATAACACATCTCAAGTCATTCCAAAGTTGACTATTTTACAATGCGGAGAGGAAGCACTTGTAACATACATCACAACTGACTGTGAAAGAAGAAAAGAAAGTTAAAATGTTCGTGTAGGACGTACGTACCATTTAATTCCCATCAGAGAAAGGGCTCTACCCCCACTCCTTCTTCTGATTATTCCCTCCTACATTTTTTTTCTCGCCCCCTCTTGCGTTGTAACACGGCAGCAAGTAGGGGACCGGCTATTGTATAAATATCCCATCAGGCTCTGGGATGATATCAGTTCTCACAGTGCAACGTTATCAACGCCATCAACATGAACATGGTGCGTACAACAGAGCTCTCTACTGGGATATTAAGAGACTAAAAAGTTTAATTTGGTAGGGATAGTTGCTGTTATTCGTAAGATGTACTTTAATGTTTGCGGTGAATCATTGATATTTTGTATCTATTAATTGTAAATTTTCAAAGCTGCTTAAATTTTGACCCTCTAAATGAAGACTCTAAGACGGACACGGAAATGTTCTTTACTTTGAACTTTAAACTTTATCTAACGTCAGAAATGGAGACTATCTTAACTTGTAGAGGCATGTAGCACGCAAGAAGAAAACATGAAATATTTTTGACTTCTCAAGAAGGGCTTTGCTCCATGGAGTTAATTATGTAGTTAGTTAGGACGGTAGTTAAGGCATTGTTCATAGATGTGGAACGCAAATTATTTTAAGTTAGAATTTCGCCTCTCTGACGAGACGAATTTGAGCCACGCAGTTGTTTGGCACACACACTAATTTATCGTCTGGATTCTCTTAAAAATCTGTAAGAAACAGATCTTTCTGACTACTCTAAACAAATACAGATTCAACTTTTTAACTTCCAGACGTTTTCTTCATAAATAAATGAAAAATTAATTTATTTGCATCTTTTAACTTAGACTATTGTACTTACGTATTACTGTTTAATTTAAGGCATTAAATAATTTTCGGTCATTGTGAACTCATGAAACTATTGCATAGTTTTATTTCCGAATATTGAACTAAAAACTGTGGTCAAAAGAAGAAAAATCTGAAATACAAAATGCAAAACCAAAAATCGATATACTATTATAGGGCATAGGGCACTGATCATTGGTTATACATCGTGTTTATGAGCGATGTGCGTAAAATAACTGGTTACGCCTGTTTCAGAAGTGCAATTTCCTTTATGTTAAATAATTTCCTGGGGGATATACATTACTATTCACTGTGTGCAATTTAACACGTTCGGGACACGTTCCGAAGCATGGCACTGTGTCTGGCTGTTATATTTGACAAATTACGAGGAAAATTAAAAACTTTAAAGCAATATAGGAATATTTCCATTGTGTAACTGGAAACACTGCTGAAGCCTGGTCATATTGTGTCTCAAGGTCAGACAGTGGCGTGCTGCGAGTGTGGTTCAGTTGTAATACATTTTGCCGATTGAGGACGGCGTAAAGACGGTTGCTGCACTAGTAATCTGCACCAAGGACATGAAAAAATAATGCCCAATACTGCAACAATTTCTGTAGTAATCAATCTGAAATTTCCAAAAATCATTACTTGATCACGCTTAATGTTCCGTTCATTTGTGGATGTTCTTACCTGTCTGCATCAGCAGTAATGGTTCGGCTTATTTTAAACATTCATATCAACTCGTATATAGGTCATAGATGTGAACATTTGGTAGCCAATTCTCGATGGGTCTCTGCCCCTTTTATTGCTTCAGACTTAGTGCACTGTTGTATGTTTCTTTTGTGCAAAACTCTATTGGAACAATCGTTTTTACAACAATCTAATTTGGCATAAACGAACATCTGGACCACTCACGCAACATATATCCGTATCACCTTGAGGTACAGCCGTGTTGCCAACAATACAATGAAAATGTTACAATATTACCAATGTTTTTTTAATCTTCTTCTTAGAAATAATTCTGAAAGAAAAGTCATTGTCTGCTTAAGGACTGATTACTAATACAAAATTCCTCAAGCAATATAAGAATAAGAATTTAAGTTATCTGAATATAAATTAGGAGTGCAGTCTGTCGCAAGACTAAAGCGTATATGAGAATAAAACTGTAAAAGGAATCTCGGTAAAACAACTTCATACTGTGAACTGTACTGATTACTCACGACAGATATTGTAAGGTTTACTTACGTGGATACTTCGATATATGATATGAGAGAAATGTTGGATACCTAAATCACCTTCCTAACGATCGATTAGAAAGAAAATATTAAAATACATGGTTTCAGATTTACGATTATTATACCCACCGGTTTAGAATATCACGCGGATATTGTTTAGTTATGAGAGCAGTCCGGAGTGATAAAATGAAAAAAATAACTGGGTTCAGAATGTTATGATTTGCACGGTTTACAAACTGTATTCCTACCAACGCGTGCCTAAATATTCATGTAATATTCCAAATTGCATTTATACGAATAGTCTGCACTTAACGGTGAATAAAGATAAGTAACCAAAAATGATCTTTGTTAACTGTGAGCATTTATATTACAAATATATGAAGGTAAATATTTCAGAATGCACTGTAAAAACATTAAAAAGTAAATTTAAAATTTTAGACGCTACCAAAATAAAATGCGGAAAATGTTTCAGCGTCCTTTACTAATGACGAATTTCACTATACTGAAAAATCTTAAAAGAAAATTAATTACAGATTTTTGCAAACTTACTTCAAACAAACAGACAATTTTGTAGTTTAACACATATCAAATATCATTTCTTTAAATATCACTAAATATTTACCCAGTGATTAGTGAATGTGAGGAGATTTAATTCGTTTCACGAATTAACTGACAAGAAATATTATACCCTTGAATCTATTAATATAAGGAACACGATTTAAATTTTATGGAATTCCTATAGATTTGTACGCCAGCCATAATATTAATTGTAGCCTAGTCGTTTTGGCTTTTGCGTACGTATATTCAATATCGTATTAAGCGTGATACGAAATTTGTTTATAAAACAGTTTAACCAACCGGAGACACACTCTCGCATTTTACTAAGTTTCTCCTATCTAATTTCAGGAAATGATAAAACTATCTGCGATTATTCCATCCATGCTCCTTCCCTGCTCTTTTCTGATCTCCGAGTCTGTGTACACCTACATTATCCTCCCATTTACGTCTAGGTCTCCCCAGCTGTCTCTTCCCCTCAGGTTTCCCAACCTGTACCCGGTGCACACCTCTTGTCCCATCCATGCGCGCTGCGTGACCCGCCCATCTCATTCTTCTCGACATAATCACCCTGACAATATTTGGGGAGGAGTACAGATTTTTAAGTTCGTCATTATGCAGTTTTCTCCATGTCCCATCGTCTTCTCTCTTAGGCCCAAATATCCTCCTCAACACCCTATTCTCAAACACCTGCAATCTGTGTTCCTCCCTCTGAGTGGGAGACCATGTTTCGCACCCATACAAAACAAAAGGGCAAAATTATTGTTTTGTATACTTTAATTTTCAGGTTCTTAGAAATCAGACGGGAAGACAAAATATTTTGAACTGAGAAGTAGCAAGCATTTCCAGAATTTAATCTCCTCCTAACTTCCGCATGAGTATCATATTGATTTGTTATTGTTCCAAAATATTTGAAATATGTAACACTTTCGAAGGATTCATTATCCATCCTAAGATAATTCTGACCGCCTGCGCAATTTTCTACCTCATGAATTAAGCTTAGTCAAAAGTAGTTCAGAGTGGTTAAGTATGTTACTGCCACAGACTGAAGCGACGCTTCTATATTCTAGCAATGATGGTTCCAAATGATAAAAAGTTAAAATTTTATCTTCGCAAATTCTGTTATCAAGCTTCATGGAAATTCATTTATAAACATTGAACATCGTAAATAAATTCGAGACTATGTTCTCGTTTCTTACAATAAAGAAAGGTGGTAAATATTACATATCACATTACATTTTAATCATCAAACCGTGTCTATCGTTCAAATTTTTAGATTATTTCCCCCCAAAACAGATTAAAATTTATTTTCAATTCTTCAACTAGAACGAAACGGTCTGATAGGAACAGCAAAGTGTCAAAATCATTCTACGTAATCACCACAGTAATTTGTTGAGATGACATTCTACGTGCTAGACAAATGTTGGATATTAAGTTTTCAAAATCTTGCTGTCTGATTCTTCAGTCCAAACTCTGAGACAATGTGGATGACTGAAGCCATTTCCAGAACCCCGCCAGTGGAGGTATTTTGAAACAGAATTGTTCGGCCCTGGAGTCGTACCGGACATGACAAGAACAAAGATGACAGTCAGTAGTTTACTAAGATCTCACTCAGTCTTAAAGAGAAGTCACAACTACTAAAACTGGTACTCGTCTTAAACAATTTTGAAATACTAATACGAAGTGACATTAATTAGTCGTCATCAGAGTTCGTATACTAACATTCGAGAATCATCAAAATTTAATGGTGTGTTTAAGGAATGAATTTCTGTCAGCTGCCGAAATAAAAAACATGTTTCGAAGCAGATCACATCAGTAAATTATTTTAAAACTAAGAAATATTCCCTACCCATAAACATGGCTTCCTGAAGAGTTCAAACACCACTGTAATTATCTCCCTGGTAAAGTTTCTTGGTTGAATCATGGAACAGATTCTCGTGCCTACGTTACTCATATTTGCACAGAGTTAAATCTTTTCCGGGAAACTTTATTTTCCTATTTTAAATCATCTCAAAGTCTCTGCAGATTATCTACGAAGACATTCAAAGTTAAATTGCTTGGTCGTGAGCAAGTTACGTTGTTTCTGTGCTACTTCGTGAATCTGCAATCTTCTTACTTTAACAACGCCTAGATCGATTTCTAAGAAATATCTAGTCGTTTTTCAACCAATTCAGTACTTCCGCGGTGCTTTACTAAATAATAACAACATAATCGATTCTTTGTAAGTAACCTTCGTAGTTAGTAACGCGTCCTGAAATAACTTACGATCATTTCAATCTCTCTGTTCGGAATTTGTTGAAGTGAGCTCTTCAACATAAAGCAAATTGTTTCCTGGACATTATCCATCGTCTAAGATTAAATCAAATCAAAGCTTTTGCATCCTTGAGAGTCGTTGTCTTCTTGAGCCTTTTGGCACTTCGATTGTTAGACTACGTATTTTCTACTTGGTCTTCAATTTTTTCCTTATTTGTTTCTAATTTTTCTCCAACATTTATAATTTTTTTCATTCATATGGTGTTTCACTTTGTTAGACTTTGGGCACCATGTTACCTTGGTCATACGTACAAGCTCCTACCCATGTTGTGTAATTTTCGTAGAATGTTTCTTTCCTTAACTCCCACAAATGTGACGTCCTGCTCAGTTTATATACAATGATTTCCACTTCTGCTATGTCCGGAGTTAGGGATTAGCTCTATTGGGCCCAACAGAGTAGGTTTTACCTGAAGACGGAGATAGACCCCCATCTTCGAAACGTCCTGGTTTTTATTGGTTTTATTTAATCTTGGACAACGGATAATGTCCAGAAAACAATTTTCTTCAACAACGCACCGTCACAAACTTTCAGACTTTTCAACATAAATTTGTTTATTTAAAAGACAGAACTAATTAAAAGTTTTTACGATGAAATATTTTGGCGGTATAACTGAGCAGTACAATAGCCATTATTTTAAAATCGTAAAGATTTACAGAGAAAATATGTAAGAAATATTTTAATATTTCTTTTGCTATTACAGCTTTCGAATGAAGCAGTCGTTCATATTTAGGTTTCCTTATGCTCTATCATATGTGAAAAACATATTGTGAACCTTCTTTCGCGTTTTTCAACAGGAATCATGCTGACAAATACTGGCGTTAATATAAAAATTGTACTGCCATCTACCGTTGCTCCTACATGTTCTGCCACAAAAATTCAAGAACGCTCATTGAATTTTTATGAAATTTGGTATGGACCTTGTGCCATTTGAGGCTAGTCCCAACTCATATTATTGAAATGTGAGGTTGAGTCACTCCTGGGTTCCATTATCTTCTACGAGAAATGACTGCGTTATTCAGACACCATTCCTAGTAATGACGTCACCATCCTTAGATATTTATTGAGTCAAAAGTGTCTGGGCGGATTTTAATAAAATTTGACACGGACGTTGTTATTGAAGGTTGTTCTAAACTAGTAACTTCATTTTCCGCATTCAATCATACTCACGTTACGGATACTCAAAATAGTGAGGTGGCACAATTGTATTCTTCTTCAAAGTGTCAGTGACTTGGAAACTTTGCAAAATGTATTGAACTGCCATGTTGCAGGAAGTTAATTACAAAACTGTCCAATCTAATGCGTATTTAATGTGCTACGACAGCCGGAGCATTCAAATGTCAACTCAAACTAAACATTACAATAAAATAGCTGCCTTTGCTCAACAAGATAATTAACATTTGGTTCCGGTTTTTAACTCCAATTCGCATCACGCCATGCAAGTGCACATCGATTATTCTTGAATGGAGCTTCGATTTGTTCGTTCCTTTTCGTTAAAACACTGTGTGTGTTCTCCTGAATACGCTTGTAAAGTTTCGAGCTAATATATGAAAACAGCGAACCGAGATACCTGCAAATAAGCATAAACGTTAACCTCATTAAAGACTGGTAGTTGAAACTACTAAGCAGACTGACACATATTGAAGTTAAATGAATTCAGTTTGTAGTTTCTCTTTTAGCATCACTGACTTCAATGGAGAATGGGCTTTCAAAGAAATGTATAATTGCAAGGATACGAAAATAATCGAATTTAATCGAGTCTAATTTTACGTTTATCAGCCAAGAAATCGATCATTTATCTAACACATACATTTGGAAATAGAACATTTATCGATACAAACTAACAAAGAAAATCACAGTAAGAAAAATATTACAGAGGTTAACATTTTCCTTCTGTTACCGACACAATTTCATTTTCATTTCAAAAGCTTCTACAAAACCAAACATACCACAAACGATGACCTGTTGATCTTGAACTTCTGTATTTAAGCAATATTCGTGGTGGCTGATATATAATTCCAATTATATTTAAACCTTGGATCCCTGTCTCTTATTACGCCTTTAGTTATGTCCAGCGATATTCAGGTTACTACGTTATTTCTCACGCACTCGGAAAACATCTTTCTCTTTTGTCATCAAAACTTTCAAAACTGCTAGTTCTTCGACTACCTGAACAATTATTCTTCCCCTTGAATGACAACTAATAATCGAAAAGCACCCCATGTGTCGCTACTCTCATTTGGTGCTAAAGAAAATATTGTTTTTAGGTTGAATAAGTCACAACTAATTATCTTCAAATCGTCACGTAGTCATTGAACGGGACGAACTTATAGTATTAAAACACTTTATTTTTGCGTAAAGTTTCTTGCATTATTAATTTAAAATATTTTTACAACGAATTCCCCATCGGAAAGAGATTTTCCTTCTGCAGCCAACAAATTATCAATTCGATAATTTGCCGCAATGCGCCGAAATTATCAACGGATTTTTTTCTGACGATTTTCTGCTGTGACTCAACCAATTTTCTGAAGCAGCCACTACTTCTCTTATCATAAAACAACAAATTTTCTGCATTTTTCTGTGCTTAGAAATTTAGTGTCTTCTCAAAGGCCAAAACACTTTCACTACAATTTAAACACAAAACGTTCCCATTCCACAGAAACCCAAAAAATATTTTTCTTCTCACTGATCTTCAAAAACCTCACATTCAGAGTAAGCTATGAGCGTTTTTATAAAGACATTTTAAATTATGTCCTTGTTTAATTTATCCCAGGTTTTTTAAACTACAGGTAACAAAAAGTAACAAATATTAAAGAAACGAACATACTTGCTATTTGAGGTTGAAGGACTCTCCGCCTAAGAACAGGGAACATACAAATATTGAGTAGAATGATATTTCTGTCTGACAAGGAACAGTCACAGTTCTGTCCAAAAGCAAAGAAAATTAAATTTAGTTACGATAATAATTCATACGGATTTGCGGCGTCTGAGGTGTTAGCACCGATTTATCTAGCCCTGGAATCGGTCCTGTTTGAAATTATTTACTGATACGTTAAAGGGATCATATAAAGAGTTTCCGAGGCCCGCTTTAAACCTGCAGGCCGTAGGTTGAATACCCCTTCAATATATAAATAATTAATTATTGCGTTTACATGTATTCGTGGGCATTAGTCTGTGAACGTATTACGTCTACAAATGAAGGTGACAAATGTATGAGTACATGAAAACAGTGATGTTAGCAAGTTTTCTTTTATTATCTGATATTATTATAAAAAAATTTAAGGAAATAATTTTGAGTAATATGTTACGTAAAAAAATACGTCTGAAATATTTGTGTATTGCAAAGAGAAGCCTTTTTAGTCGTGTTTATGTCCAAAAATACATCCAATAATTGGCATACACGAGACGTCCATGTCGTCAAATTTACAATAAACTTTCATTTTGGTTTAAATTTTTAATCAACTACTCCAAACGCCAAATTTTACTAAAATATATTCATCAAAAGTGGAATTATTTTGTGTATATTCGAATAGAGACAGCGCTGAGGGCCACTTCTTACTGCAAATTGCGAATAAGAAATTGCGTAAAGAAAATCATCTGTTTGTCTAACATCGAAATTCCATGAGATTAAGCTTCAGTGAATATTCCTACGTCTCTGTTTAATACATGCACATGCATATAGAATGGATGGACCTGCAGGTAATTCATAACAATATATAATTTAGGTAAATTTTCGTATCTATTTACAACAATGATTAAATATAAATTGTCACACTGTGTAGTTTCGTAAGTGATTACCAAAGTTTCATGTAAATATCTCTTGCATTGGTATCTATAAAAATACTACAGGGAGTTGCAACTAAGAACATAATTCATACTTTCATCCCCTTGAAATCTAAAAATGTCAACATCGTGATGAGTGAGATAAAAATGTTGGGCCTATATTACGTTCTTCACGTCCATTTTAAAACAAAATTCTATAGGCAAAATTACGTTTCACCACATAGTAACCGTTTGTTTTGTGTGGCTATGACATTTGGTGTTTGGGGCTAATGAAAAATTATAGATTTTACTGGACATAAACTGAAAGAAATGCAAAGGCAAAATATGTGGAGTGAATACAGCTCTTATTAAAATTATTTGTGACCGCTGAAAAGGTTTAAATAATACCAGTAGTTAAGAGACCGTGTCCAAAATTCAAATCCTACATACAGATTTTAGCAAGTGTATTATTTCTCCTACAGATCGCAGTTGTAGCTGTGCTTGGTCTGGCCGCCGTCAGCCTTGCCAGGCCTCAAGTGAGCAACACGACACCGATTCCAATTATTTCTTACAACAATGAAGGCGTGAACTTCGATGGATCTTACAAATGGAGGTAACGACATTCTGAATTCTGCATTGTCGATGTTTCTTCGAAGTAACTTACCGATAGTTCTCGATTATAATACTCTTGTCATACCATTTAATTTCATTGTAAACGTGGTCTACCACATAAGTTAATTTATTCGTTCTTCACAGACTATTTCAACGCATTAAGCGCGGAATGGAACGTTTATTTTGTACATATTATACGTTTGTTGTGGTAAGCAATTCTGTCTTCGGATTATCTAGCACTGTGGAGTGAGAAAACGGTTCCCAGATATGTAGCGAAGTTGAGGGCAGAAGGCATGGGATGTACCTTCACCTGGGGCTTTGAGCGGGGACTACCAACTCGTCGCTGAAAAAGGACAGTATGTTACGAAATGTTCCACTGGGTTATGAAGCGGATTCTTGTAAACATGATAATGAAACTCTATGTTCCATAAATGGAGGGAAATTTTATTGACTAACTGGGCGACTGATCCATCAAGTTACAGTTATTTCCTTGTACTTATAGTAGATTTACTGTTCTTAAAATTCTATTACTGCAGACAGAATTCACGTAAGTATTGACCCATTTTTCGGATCTGATACTGCGAACATCGAACGAATGAGCTCCAGCTGTGTCTAAACCTCCATAATTTGCAAATTTCTCCAACATTAATGTGGTGATTAAAACAAAGAGAATGGTATAAACGTGATATATAGTATGCATAGAGAACTTGGATAATAAATCTGAAGGGAGAAGACCTGGTTGATGACCTAGAAGTAGATAGAAGGGAAATAAGAATATGACAGAGTCCAAAGGCAGGTCAGTGTGAATATGTTAATGACTGTAATCTTTCCATAAAAGAAAGAAATTTCTTGCCCGGCTGAGTAACCAACAACTGTTGTAGAAAGACCCTGCATCATGCTGTTAGTTACTCAATACAGTCTCTTAAAAAAATCTGGAGGTCATTTTATCTACAGAACTACACAATTACTTTGTTTAATTATCCTTTTATTGTCTCCAAATGTAAAATGTATAGTGAGTGTGAGCCAAATGCCTGTTAGCACACTTTTGCATGTACTGCCCTCCAAGTCATTTATTTTTATTTTGTGGCCTTCTCCCCCTTTGGCGAGATAATGGTTGCTGAGATAAGGCAATTAGCAGATGATGGCGGGGGAGGGGGGGACACTGGAAGTGCTCCGCGGTGCGTCGCATCTCAAGTGCCGTGACTGAACGAACCTGCCCTTCTTCATTCGCCCCGAGGTCAAACAGCCAACGAGCATCTGCAACGCAAAACCGGTTTCTTTGCTTGTAGTAGTGGCATCTGGTTACTACGGGGTAAACCGCATAGCACAGAATGTCTCTCATTTCATTCAGGGGAATGTTGAGGGTTTAATTTCAATGTTTCCTGTGGTTACGCTTTTCATAGGGTATTACATTAACTGTAGCAATCAAGAAAACGTGTATATGCGGATCGGAATAAACTACACGATTGATTATGAACGACTAACCGCGAAGAATCTGGAAAAAAAGTTCGACTCAGGAATTTATATATTCGGCAAGAACCTGCCTTGCACATTAATTTTCAGTGCTTTGAAAAGTAGATGAACAATATTTGCTGTTCAAAAACGTTGACTGTGGTTTAAGGAATGACAAATATAAAATATATTTATGAATTGTAACTGCGAAATATTTCAGCACAAGAACACAAACTCAGACATGTTTCTGACGTCATTCAGGCGCTCATATTTCGAGGTCTGTCGTGTAATTAAAGGTACTCGCATTGCGTAAGTTGAAAACTACACAACAGTCGTGTCCATGAGATTTTAACGCGCATGACAAATCACAAAGAAAAACTACACATAAAGTGCTGTAAACAACATAGATCAAAGGCACAGTTCAGTAATAGGAAAGATCCATTACTTGCGTTTCTATATTCAAATCACCTTTGTTATTTCATAGCCGTTAAACAGAGTTTTAAAATGAAATGCTAGAGGTATTACGTATGAATAATTATTTTTCATTCGATGACGTCAAAGTTCCTAATATTTGTTTAAACCTGTTTCGTATGGGTGTTAAATTCGGTATCTCAAATGAAGGTAAGAAAAGAGACTGTTGATATTTGAAAAGAGATCGCTAAGTGAAATATTTTGTTGTAAGATGGATGAAGTGACAGAAGGCTGGAGAAAATTAAGAGCTTCATAACGTAGATGCTACTCATCAAGTACGCATTGTTTCTTTGTCGCTTTGGAGCTGCGGCAGCCAACGGAACCACTGTCCATCTCCCAGATGATACCTGAATTTTGAGCATCATTGAAAAGGGTCACAGGGATACCAAAAGACACGGATATAATGAACCTGCCCCAGTGCCTCACTGTCCCACAGTTCCTAAATGGCAAACCGTGGGAGAGACCCTGAGCTCGAACGGTGAGATGGCAACTGACTGTCTGAGCTAAAGCAGGGCAGTCATCAGATATCAGCACAAAAATCAAATCAAAGAGGATTACATGGACAGGGGCATGTAGCATGCGTGTGAAATGAGAAATGCTTATCAAATGTCGGTAGGAAGACCTGAAGGGAAGAGACAAATTGTAAATTCGAGTTGTAGATGGGACAATAGTATTAAAATTCATGTTAGGGAAATAGGATCGAAGTATATTGATCTGCTTAAAATAGGTGTCGGTGGCGAGCTCTTCTGTTTAGGAAATGAATCTTCTCAAGAAGGCCCCTGTTCCGTGGAATTATTTAATATTATTAAAGGTAAAGAAATAATTTCAAGTCATTAGTCTATTGAAACGAAAAATAGAGTACAATTATTAAATATCAGCCAACAATTTTTACGCAGATACGCGATACTTCAAACACTCCAAAAACAGACATCAATACACCGATTACTGTAGACGTATCTTACCATCAACGTCACCGTCTCAGACAATCCGTTTAAGCTAGACGCCACACAGCCATTCAGGTTTCAAAGAAACATTAAGTCATCAGTTAGGTTATGTCCTATGAGGTGTAACGAAGCACAATTATCTTTAAATTGTTTCCGAATGTTCTACATTTATTATTTGCGTTTTAGTTTATAAAAAGGTATAACATAGATACGTTCATTGTTTTTGGGACGAAATTATATGTTAAAAATAATGAAAAATGAAACAGTAGCTTGAAGGAAAATAATACTGCTATGGTTCAAGTAAACTGTGATAATATTAATTGGGAATGTTAGTCTATAGTAATCAATCAATATTAAATGTCCCTGAAAAATATTCAATGATGACGCGTCACGTATTTAAGAGATGATAAACCTTAAAATCTTTGCAAAAATTTCAGAGTGACGTTTAAGTTCACTGTTAGGAAGAAAGAAACCTCTGAATTACATTGAGAGTTGTGTTACACAGAATCAATATGAATATTTTAGAATAAATTATATCATTAAGCAAATAACAATAAACAAACACAAGTTATTGTAATTTTTATCAAGTTAAGACAATTTAAAACAGAAATGAATACAATATTTGACTCAATTTAATAACGTTGCTGAGGAGTATAGAAAGGCTTCGACTGATAAAACGATTCGATATCGTTATCGATATCTGATATCGATAATAAATTTCATATTAATTTTCATAATAATAATGTTGCAGCTACGAGACAGCCAACGAGATACAGGCTCAGGAAGAAGGTTACGTGAAGAACCTTGGAAATCCAGAACAAGAGACGCAATTTGCTCAAGGCGGGTACCAGTACACGGCTCCAGATGGCACTCGTATCAGCCTCACGTACACGGCCGACGAGAACGGCTTTGTTCCGCAAGGCGCTCATCTGCCGACACCACCCCCAATCCCCGAGGCCATCCAGAGGGCACTGGAATACATCGCCGCCCATCCTGAAGAGAACGAAGCTGGAGCCTACAGTGATTCTCAACCTGGTTCGAAGCCCGGTCGACAATACTGAGCTGCCTCAGTTATAAAATGCACATCGTGACTTGACTGTGCAGACACTGGAAAACTAAAATAACAAGGACAGTCTCATAGTTGGGTACTGTTAGTTGCACTTTACAAACATCAAAGCAACAATGTTCATCTCACTGCGTTGCAACACCCATCATACAACTGTCGTCCAAATGTGGCATACCGTAGTTATTTATTTTCAACACTTTTCATGCATTATGACTAGTTTGTCATAATATAAACTCTTCAGAAGAATGTTAATATATTTAGGTAAAGTACACATACAATTATGACTAGTTTGTCATAATATAAACTTTTCAGAAGAATGTTAATTTCTTTAGGTAAAGTACACATACAGCTTCAAGTTTGGTATTTAAGAAAAGAGCTTCCTATTCTTAATTATCTGTTGAAAAAATGTAAGGATTGTGAGGAAATTCTATGGCATAAATTGTAACTTCGGTGATACCTCATCGTACACGCATCTGCAGATAGTTTTACATTCTTTCATAATTTCACAATCAATCCGACATAGTTTGCGTATTGCTTAAAAAATAATATGTATCATTGTTACAATTTTCATGACAATAAATACACACACGCACAGACATACATTTCTGTTCGAGGCCTGAGTTCCTCTCGCTGGTATTGTTTTAAATGTACTTCTGATACATGATAAAAACGAAACATCTATAGGATATGCTATAACAGCAAATTTAATACAGAGTGAGATTATTCTTTTAGATTTTAAGCGTTAAGGTTAGAAATAAACACCATACTTTTCGCCTGAGCGGTTGCCCGCGGAAGGAGTGGGCAATATTAACATTCAATTTATTCCCGTATCATGGTAAAAGTTTTGTGTTGATGCTTTAATTTTTAACTACGTACATAGTGTCTGTATTGTTTATATGTTTATACAAGCTATATTATATGAATTTACTATATAATAAAATAACTATTTTGACACAAAATAAGCGACTGTACTGCAAATTACTAGTCCATTTTTACAAAGATCACAAAGAAACAGTTGCGAACGACGACGCACAACTCTGAAATTTATCCGTGTAAACCATTCCATGTTCGTATTCTTGCATTATCAAATGTAACCTTGAGTGGGATTCGAACCCACGGTCCCTGCGACTAAGCGGCACAAGGCCCACGCCTCAGACCACACGGCCACTGCGGACCCCAGATATAAATACAGCCTAGATTTAATACAGATTCATTTAATAATTTCCTGAAAATATTTATAAATCAGTAACAAATGCGTGGTATTTATAGCAGTCAAGACGTCAGTGTTGGTCTTCTGGGCTGTAACGCCGTGCGAAGTTAAAGGTAAATAACGCTGCGGAGAAATCTTACACTAATCATATTCATCCTTGAAGATGGAGACAGTATGTCCTCCCCCCGAAACTATAATATCTACCTACAAGTATGTGTACATGTTGTCACAACCCAGAAGACCGGAGTAGACAGTACCCAGTAATTAAGAAACTGCAGATAACTCGCTTAATGAACTCTTTGACTGTGTGAACGATCTCACTGAGTAATCTGTATTGTTTCTGCCCTGTTACGCCATTAAGGCGGGCATCCTTTAACCTTTTGTGCAAGAAAACTTGTAAGAGAATTCTCGTGTTGCATAAAAATTCTCGTATTCTCCTTCAGGCCTTACGCATTATTAATTACCGTTTCAACGTGAATGCATTGTAAAATGTTGCGCGTGTAGTCTGGTAGAAACCGACCAACGTTTTAGAGGAGCTTACGGCCTCCATCGTGAGTTTAGTGATCCATCACTAACTGCCCTAAACATGGAAGAAGTCAGTCAATTTCTACCAAACTTCACTGCGCTACATCTCAGAAGACAACCATTTTCATTCTTGTCGCCGCGAAAATCTGAAATCATATTACCATTTACTCTCTTTTTACATCTGTTCCTGATTTATTTCGTCCCTTTCTCTATTCTCCCCTCTTCTCTATTTCCTCCTAGTCTATTTCTCCATGCATCCTTCGTATTTCCTTCTCCTCAATCTTCTCACTTCAGTGGTCTATTTTTAGTGTTCTCCTCATTTTCATACACAAGATTTAGCCATGTTTACTTTCTATCTTTTTCTATGAAAATTAACATATATCTAAGGAATTCCGTTCCTAACAATTCCACTGGTAAGACAATTATAATTTGACATTTTCCAATTGTATTTCTTAGTGAGCAAGTTCAGGTTCGTAGTTCGATTCCCGAACAGGCTAAACCTTGAGATGAAGGGTAAACCAGGCTTTGGCATATTAATCTGGTTTATGTAAACGAAGGAGGCGTGATTAGATAATATTTGGTAGGCCTTACTTCATCCAAAATTGATTGGTTTTATTAAACTTAGCCTTGTTAAATGTGTTAAATTGGAAGAAAGTGGCCATACTCAGTCGCTTGAACGTCTCTCTTCTCGACTTTCCGTCTAGAGGGAGCGTAAAATAAACAAAGGTTACGCAATCGTTCAAATTGTTACGCGACGTGCACTTAAGCCACTCCAGACGACGAATGAACCCTTTCCAGATGTGGGGTGACGATTGCATTACAACCAGCGCCTCACTGCGACTGACCAATGAATCTGAATATGGCTTATAGGCGCGTTCCCGCCGTTATGGGGGAACGAATCGGATCGCCGCATTTAATTGTAATTTAATAACAATTACGTAATGCAGGAGTATTTAAAGAGCGATTGTGGTTGCGGGGCTGTCTTAAGTTTTGATCTTCAGGTCGTGCAGACCGTTCTACACGTACTTCAGATTTTTATATACAACAGCTGAATCATCGCACTGCCTTGCATTAACTGTAACTGGTCTTCAAAGTGTCTCAAGAGGCAATAAATTGAACGTCTCTTAGCTCGCCAATGGCGTCTTTAGTCGTCTTTAGTTACTCTAGAGATTTCGCATCCTACGCAAAACATGAACCCCACCACTGCCTTCTCCATACATTCCCTGGGAATCGGAGTCCCATGCTCACCGACCTAAACCCACGCCCATTATCAAAATTTCCTAATATCCCTTCGGTACTTATCAGAAAATTCGAAGCTGTAACCGTACGAGGGCCTGGCACGTCACTGGGTTTGACCCCTGGCTTCAACAAGCAAATATCGAGACGAGAGTGTGAAAGGCCGGTTACATTAGCTCGTGGCTGGACTCCTCTTACCGTCAGCGGAAGTTAACGAAGTCCTTACTTCTGTGTTCTCTTGAATTCGCACAAAGCCTTCTTTATATAATTCAGTTTTACGTAACTGAAAATGTGCTTACGCAGAAACTCCCTTACGCATAGCATCAAAAGTAAACTCTGAGTGTTGTAATGGCATAAACGTAAGAACGCGAATGGGTTTTCGACAAAACCTCCACCTACAAATATCGTGGATACTTATGTGGGAAATTCTTTACTTTGCTAGCATGCTTTCCTTCTTAATATTAGCAGTATAGAAAGTAAGTACCAATAAATTCACGACGTTTCATCAATTTAGTACAATAAAACAAATTAATAATGCAGAATTACTTCCTTCCTGCTTGGACATCAGAGGTGACATGTCGGTACGAAATGAATCCACGAAAAGAGATCTTTGCTTGGATTTTAATTAATAAAGAATTAAACAATACAGGGCTTTCAAAAGGAAATTTGATTGCAACGAATACCTACATTTTAAAATATCGTTTAGCAAACATCAGTTGAAATGATAAAGGACGTAATTACACATTGAGGTTCCCACGGCAGTGAGTACGAAGATGGCAGGCAATCTTGTAGCGCCGTGTAATCTGGAAGAAGTTTAGCAACTCTTCAGAGCTCCTTGCTGTCTCCAACATCAAGGCGTTATACCCTTAATTAAACGTTGGTCACCTTCTATCAGATTACACGGAGCTGCAACCCACAAGACAGCCTTCTCACAGTAAATGCAAGTAATCCTCAGAGTGAGTCGACTTTCTAGTTGTCACTCGGCCAGACAGGCCACGTCAAGGTCGCGCGAGCAGAAGTTCTACTGATATCTCTTCCAAAAAACCTAGAATAAAGCTTAAATTATGCTTGCTCTCTAATTAAACAGCTCATTTTTCTAGCTGAGTGAGGGCCTGTGGCCTGACCAGACTCAAATTACGTACTAAATTGTAAATCCTTTTCGACATTCAGTAAAAAATCTTGGACGGGATGTAAACTCGCCATAAGGCCTTCACCTACATATGACAAAACAACAGAAAACGGATATACCACGCCTCTGATGACATTTTAATCCACGATTCGAGTTGTAAAACAGTGAAGACCCATGCATCACACCAAATTAACATCACGATCTGCAGTGATTAAACACGCTTACAAATATATGACCCATTGGATTAAAAGAACACCCACAGATTGTGGCTGAAATGTCGGGTAAGGTACTTTAAAACATTCACATCTGTTTCAGCTCCCAGACAGTTGTTACATCGGGCAGAGTCATGGCGAATTTAATTTCCGTGTTTCGTTGCAAATGCGTAAAAGAACAGTTTTAATAACATTGAAATTAAATTTTGCTGGGAAAAGATGCAGTATATCGATATTAATGGTGAATGCGTGAGAATGAAAACGGCACATGTCACAAAAACAAACATTTGGCAAAATGGAAAGTATTTGTAATGATTCAGAAGAAAATTCTGTGACACTGTTTTTGAAGCCTCAAGAATCATGAGAGATATGTTTTAGTGACGTCGAGGTTTATTTATCTTTTAATAGCTCAAACATATTTGGTACGTAATTTTAGAAATTTTTATGAAATTGCGGTTTAAAAGGAAGAAAATTCCATTATTGCATTAGATAAATTCTTCAACGAACGAGTTACAAATCGAGTATTGTGGTCTCCGCGATTATCCGATTTAAATAAATACTTGTGACGCATTTGCTGGGTCACCTGAAATTTTTTTTTGGAAAATTGTGGCGCGCAAACCAATTGAGCTAGCCACATGCGGTTTACGGCAGATTACAGTGAAACTCTGGAAGATTTTTTGCAGCCAACAGATGGCATAAGCGGCCATCTTTACGTTTCTCAGTCAGTTGTTTGTGAAATGACGACTGTGCAGGAACGGGCGCGTTGTGTGGGATGGCTTTTTGAGACAAAATCAGTCACCCAGACTCAACGAAATTACCGCACACAGTTCAATAAGTAACCTCCGAATGACAATGCAATAAGAGACTGACAACGGCTTTTCCTAAAACTGGTAGCGTCCATGATCGCAAGAGAAGTGGCAGACCGGGTGTGTAAGCGATGAATGTGTGGAAAGAATCCATGA